GCCCTCTTCTACCAAACACTGTTAGGGAGCTGTGGAAACAGTATTGCCTTGATGTATCCTTTAAATTCTTAACTCTGCCAAAACCATGCTTGCATTGTGCACAGTGAACCACAGGAAGGTTTTCTGTGTCTGAAGTTTCTGTTTTACAGGTAGAACTTCCGCCTGGGAATATCACTTCTTTGTTTGAATAAAGGATTGGAAACCTTAAAAGGAAGCAAAAATCCACCTCTGCACAACTCCTCCCTCTTCATCTCATGATGCTTTCCAAGGGGAGAGATTTTTAAAACAATGATCTTAGATTAACTAGAGCAAAGCTCTAATCTTGCCATGTCAAACACATCGTTGCCCCTGCCTCCAGCTGACAGAAATACATCGGGTATGGGACCGTGGTTGTGAACAAATGGAGTGTGTTGCACAAAGTAGATCGCCTGACTAGTGGCACAAGACATTTCTTACCTTTCTAACAGGAATTTACCATGATGGTTGGAAAATTTGAGTTGTTGCTGAAGTTTTAACAAAGCTAGTTATGCAGTTGCACACCACTAAGAATGTCCGTGGTCCCAGGTTCTGACTCAGTGCTGTGGTTGATGGGACAGAAGCAGAAGGAGCTGGAGTTTCTTTTTCTCCTGGAAAGCACCACAGAATTGTTTCTAAAGAGGAATGGAGACAATACTTGTTTTTGTAGTAAGGAATTGCTGGATAGGTGCATAAATATAGTGAGGAAAGCAAACCTTCCTCAGCAGAGAAAACTGTTGAGCCTGTTGCACTTTCTCTTGAAATGAAGCTGTTCATTTCACCTTCATTTTTCTGCATCCAGAGCAGAAACTAATTCTTTAAGAAGCAGGTAAGGGGATTTGCTTCCTTAGACACAAAAGTAGCCATTCATCACCCTCTAATATTTCTTGAGATGCTGTAGTTATTCTGACTCACCTTTATCTTCCACTTCAAAAGGTCATGGGTCTGCCCATGCCAGTCCAGTGTCACACCTTCCAGCCCTGTGCGGCCATCAGATGTCCTAGGATATCTACTATGGCACTAGGCACCCTTTTAGGCACCCAAATCCACACTCTCAGAGAATTTTAGAGGTGATTCAGTTCAGTGGTTTTCAGACTTAGAAACTAGGAAAACTGAGCAGAACATCATCAATAGTAGTATCCAGAGTGGAGTATCAGCCTCAAAAATTGTCATTTTCACCAGTGTAAGTACCATTGCTCTGATACTATGTGAGCTCAGTAACTGCCCAGACCTTGAAATAAATAAGGAGGTTACCTGTATCAGTGATCATGGCTGATAGTATCTTTCACTACATTCAGTTATTTATTACCAACTTGACTAATCTTTGGTGTCTATTCCAGCCCCTTTTACTTATGCTAAGGCCTTCTCCCAATTCTAACCCTTCCACTGTCCTTGTTTCATTTTCTTTAAAAGCTTTTTCCATTTGGCATACTGACTTATTTTATCACAGGCTAACTCCTTTCTCCCCTTAACATGAGTTTTTCCTTTTGAAATCTTTCTCAGTATTCTCAAGCTCCTGTTCATTTGCTCCCTTCATTTTTTTAGTCCTGCAAATATTACACAAATGAATATTTTTCCATTAATTTTCCAATAATCTTTAGCCGTTATACCACAACAGTATTAGCCCTTTCCTCAACTGTAGCTCCTGATTGCTATTCCAAAATTTCTCATCCCACTGAGCCTCTTGAAATTGTTGCTTCTTGAAATTGTTGCAAGGTCTCTGATAAAGTCAGTATCATTCAAGTCCCTTGATTTAAATTCTGCTTTATGCCCCAAATCCACTTAAGCATTTTTTCACTTTTTTTTGAGGTCCATTGCTTCTTCCCTTTCAATGTTTTATCAGTATCCTTCTCCCCTTGCATGATGCCCTTTGCCTGGGTCTCAGGGTCATCTCAAACCTCACCATATCTTTCCCAGAGCTCATTCTGGGCTTCTGAAGAACATTGGTGAAACAGAAGTGTGCTGACTTAAGGAACGGCGCCAATGCTGCATCTGCCATTGGCAGGAAAAGGAAAAGGCTGGGCAAGAACAAACTTGCTGCTCCTCGTGTTGCCTGAGGAGGAAGAAGGTGGTCAAGGCTGTGGATGGTGACTGCTGCTGAAAGGAGCTCCCAGCCCCCATTTCTCCTCAAGCACTTTCTCCTTCTCAAGGCTTTTTGTCATCAGAGAAGCACTTTACTAAGCGGTCAGTGGGCAACGTGTGGCTGCCATTTCCCTTTAAGTAACTTCTAGCTTCAGATCTGCAAGATCTACTGAAATGACTGTCTTCTGTTTCTGCACCTAGCTAATGAGGTCTGTAGGGAAAATTGTGAAGAACATGTAGTCATTACCTTCTTGAAGGAGGAATCTGCAGTTGTTTCCTACCTGCTTTCCCTTCAGTGCAGAGGAGAGAGAACCTGCCTGAAACAGGGCAGCACTGAGCACCTGCTGCTCTTCCTTTGCAGACCTGAGCTTCTGGAAGAGCCATTCACCTCGATACCTCACAGAAAGCTTTTATTTACAAGATGTGTAGAAAAAAGCACCAAAGAGTTTGAACCCGTAGGAAAATACAGGTGTATTTGATAACAAGAACCTTTGCCACGTGCTCTTAAGGATACTTGCAAGGCAAGGGAGAGTATTTCAAGGGATGGTATTTTCTCCCCACTCTTACTATCCCCTTGGGGATGGGGACTTGTTTTATTGGCAATCTGTGGTCACTGCAGTACAGACCTCAGCTTTAGTTTCACCTTGGACTTGCCATTTCTAGGTTTCTCTCTTAAGGGAATCTCTTTTTCTAATGCCTTAATTTTCTTTGACACAAAGCTGTACCTTTTTGCTGTATTCCTGAACTCACTAATATGTCATCTGGAAATGCTCTTAGTGTCATGCATGATTAACTTGCAGTTAAATATAAGATTTTTGTGTGTATAAAGTTGTCAGAGTAAGAAACATGAAAGTAAAAGCTGCATGTACAACATTGCTGTCCTTGCTTAGCTTACCAGCATTCAGGTAGTATTTACCTTGTTTTTTCTACAGGATGTTTTTCCCACTCTGTGGTCAAGATGCCAGCAGTCACTGTAGCTCGCACTTTGTTTCTCTGTTAAAACCCTTGTGTAGTTCTACAGCTTATTTTGATGAACTCTGTTTAAACCTCTGCATAAGCAGAGAATTGCCAATTCTTTTCTGGAGCTTTCCATGGCTTCATGACTGAGGCTGATCAGGACATCACAAACAATCATTTTTTTTCCTCAAATTCACCTAGTCATTTTGAACAAAAAAGACAAGAGTTCCTATAGATAATTTCCTCCTCCTCTACGCAGTCCTGACTTACTCCTGTAGCACAGCCCAATCTATGGCTTTAGTGAGGCAGGTGACACACAGAAAAATAATAAAGTCATATAATTGACCATCCCCACCATCACACCTGATCCTTTATCATACTCCATTTGCACAAAGAGGGGAGAACTGAGGTTTCTCCAGCAGCATGCTGTAACTCTGGCATATCCCAACTGTCAAGTACTTGCCATCACAAGTCTCTTGGAGTTTGGTGAAATGGGAGAGGATTTGTGAAAAAGAAAGGGGAAATATCAGAATATCATCTTTTGGCATTCCCTTGTCTTCTGTGTGGATCATGAGCAAGGTGGATCCTGGAATTGTGCCACACAGGTCCAATGTCACCAGTACTAATGGGGTAAGTGGCAGTAGTGGTGCCAGGTGTTACCACCTTGAACTGAAATCGGAGGGGTCACTGCCTCGGGGTAAGGGGGTCACTGGCACGGCTTAGCAACAGGGAAATCATGACACATCACGAGGACTTCATAGTTCAGAAAGAGTTGGCCCCAGGTGTCAGAGCTGGGAGGTAAATGTGGAAACAGCATGTTTTGAAATCAGGAAGACCCTTGCCAGTGCCAACACCCGTGTATCTGGACTCTGTTTTGATCTCAAGACCGGGCTGTATTACAGGGGTCCCAGATCCTTCTCCCCTCCTTTGAGGACACTGTCTCTCCTGCCATTCTTGTCATCTGAATCACTGCTTCCCCCACATCTTTATGTCCTCCCTCAATCTTCTCTTCCTCACAAACACCACCCAGCCTAGTTCTTGTCTCCTGCTTCTCCAGGTCTCCGTGCTCCTCCCCTGGTGCTTGGCTTCCAGCAGGGAAAGTACAAAATGCCTGGGAGAGCATCTCCAGTGGAGCTGGACAGCATTTCCTTCATCAGGGAGCAGCAGTTCTACATGTGGTTGTACCCTGTCCTTCTTGAACTGACAGCAGCTTCCCAGGGGTGGCAAAAGGCACTGTCTGAACCCCTTCTCCTTCCTGCCACATTTCCTAAATCATGGCACAGACACAGCAGAACTTCTTGATAAAATAGCTATACTTTAAAAATAAGAAAGGAAGGGGGAGAATGTTCTGTTTTGAAAAATCTCATTCTCAAATATTACTAACTTTCACCAAAACTTGAAAAATCAATTTATAAAAGGGGGGAAAAAAGAAGGAAAAAAACACCCTCCACAACAAAAACCAAACAACTGTCTTAGAAGGCAAGCGTGGCAAGGAAAGGAATCAAACCAAGCAGCATTTTTCAAAATGATGAGCAAGAACTCTATTTGCAGGGCTTTGAGAGACTTTAAACACAAAAGTTAACTCAAAATTATAACTAAACTTCGGTGGCAGCTTAGCTATTGCATAGGCTGGAAGGTGTGATACACAGCTCAAAGGTCTGCTGCTATAATGTGACAAAGACTCTTCCCTTCTGATGTGGACTGTGACCAGTGTAGACAATTTTCCATTTCCTGCCTTCACTGCATTCATGAGCACAGGCTGGTCACCACCTTCACTACAGACAGGTCAGCAATAACAACACAGTTGAACTCGTGTATGTACTTAGCACCTCCAATTTCAGTTGTCTGCAGACAGCTGCATTTGGAATAAGTCTTCTTTTAACGCCAGGCTTCTGACTTTCTCTGGAATTGCTTCGAAAGGTGAGAGACCTTGCTTTCTTTTGTCCATGGAGTTCCCATTTTTTCATGGAAAGATAACAAGAAGAACCTGTGAAGAACTGCTGAGCAAGAATGGAAAGAACGGTAGCTATTTAATACGAGAGAGTGAAAGCGTGGAAGGAGCCTTGTGTCTCTGTGTTTTGTAAGTACTCTAATACTATTTTTTTAACAAGTTTTCAGATAGATCCAAAGACAAGCGTTCATCTTGTCTAACATTAATAGTCATTCCCTAATATTAACAGGCTCCAAGGGTGTGTGTCTATGTATTCAAGTAATGCTGGTTGCCTTAGGCTTCCTTTATAGTGAGCGGTGAGAGGGTGGCATTTGCAAAAGGCATTATATACAACAGAGGATAGATGAACTGTAATCTGCCAATGCTGGTCTCTCTCTGCAGACAATAAAGGGAGTCCAGAGAAAATAGCTTAGCCTCCCAAAAACATGGTAAGTACCTTACTCAAAGTTACTGTCTTTGTAATGATGAGTAAATAGCATTTTAGCACTGCTGAGACACTGAAAAGTCTCATGGTAGGTTGCAAAACAGTTCCTTCTTCGTAGGCTTTCTATCTGATGAAAGCTTAGCCTTGTGCTTCAAAGGAATGTTCTCTGATGTAGGAACATAGGCTGAGACAGAAAGCTATAATGCGCTCTTTGAATTCATATGACAAGTCCATGAAGAAGACGGGCATAGAAAATTGCTACTTCTAGTCCTTAACTTGAATTTCTACAATTAAAATTTTACTATTTTCTTTTCCTGTAGGGAATAGCACTTTTACTTCCCTTTCAAGAAGCTTGTTTTACCCTTTTCATATATAATTGATCTGTTCCTAATGCGTTCAAAGTTTATAAATTAGTAACTCTGAGTCTTTCTTTGTTTGACCCTATGAGGCTTTACACTCTGCTTGAGGATGTGTTTGAGTGTGACATGAAAAAATTTTAACACCACATCTAATTAATTCAAAAATATCAGAAAATGTTTTTATCAATAATCAAAAATGCATTTCTTTTGAAACAAATCAAAGGAGAAGGGAGAAAAAAGGGAGAGGGAAATGGAGTACTATGGGGTTGGTAGGTAGAAGAAAGGAGGTCTGTGAAATGACAGAGTAAGGAGAAGAGGAATGGCAAGCGCTGCACAAACTGCGCTCGGGGAGAGGGCTGCAGGAACCTGCTTTTGGTATGGTGTGGAGGTGCGGGGAGGGCAGGGAGCATGGGAGGGAAAGAGTGTCCATACCCTGTCAGAAGGGACAAGTGGGGATCCTGGCACAGAGGAAGAATGACAATATTAGTCCCTAACATGGGAAGATGGCCGTTGAGATCTCATGTGGTGGAGGTGGATGAGAAAATAAAGGTCTACTTAGGTGTGCGCAATGAGTTTGAATACTTCTGTAACGGAGGGCGCTTCTACAGAGTACATGGTGGGCAGATGCAAGCTCATGTAAAGTTTAAGCTCGGTGCCACACTAACACAGTTGCTTTCCCTTTTTTTTTTTTTTTTTTTAAAATTTTAAGGGCAAAGCAGATCTACCTTGTGATAGCTTGCAGACATGCTTTTGTCTGTCGACAGTGTTCTGGGCAGGCATATGAAAAAGCATGTGACTTCCAGCTAGCCTCTGTGGGTTTTTGGTGTTAAAAATTTTAGTGTTTAGTGTATTTGACTTTAACTCATGCATTAACAAATGTAATAGTTAAACTGTAGGGGTGGCAGCAATGGTATAAGACACACTGGCTTGCAGAGGTGAAAGCAAGGGTTGTCTTCCAATAACAAATGGGACAGTAATAGTGTATTGGCTCAGAATTGCCTCAGAGAGTGGACTGTCTGTCAGGGGTTGATTAGGCAGAGGAAAGCTGTCCTAAAACTGGAAGCAATCAACACCGAAACTCTCAGTGCTGTTTCAAGACAAGTTTTGGATTAGAACTGCAGCTTAAAACATTGCTTAGCACCTAACACGGTTGATGCACAAACTGATGCACACCTCTCAAATTAGCTGATCCATGGGCAGATACTGATCCACTTGCTACAGAAAACAACCAACTTTTTTTTGTCCTCTGCTGATTGGGGTATCAGAGGGGAGGGCACTCCCATGGAGGATCCAGGAGTCAGAATGGTGGGACCAGTTCCAAAGCATCTCTTCTCTAATCAGGCATGGTGCACAGCTCTGCCGATATGTCTTCCTCCACTGCACACTGCCGCTTTCATCCAAAGCTGTCCCAGGTCTCTGACAGTGCCTCAGTCCAGACCTACTGCTCTTGCTACTGTTCTTCTTATGGCTAAACATGTTATTCTCCAAAAAAAAGCTCCTCTCACCCTGCTTTTCTGCCACTGGATCTACCTTGTGCCCAGACCAAGCACTTTATTAATTTGTACCATATGCAGTTGTTGGTAAGCATTTAGTGGTTAATGTGGAAACAGAAGTTTCCATTTTAATGGTAGTTTTATGTTTATTTAGTAAAAATTACAGGAGCCAAAATATATCCAGGCAGTAACCTTTCAAAATTTAGATGATCGGTAGAGAGCAAGTTTCAAAAATGATCGGTTTCTGTTGCCTTTGTTTTTTCTCACTTCTATGTCTATGTTTAAATAATGAACACCTACATTTATAAAATACTCTTAAGACAGGAACATGTGAATTTCCACGGGTATCTCAAGGAGGAAAAAAACAAAAGATGTATCCCTGTGATGCAACTCTTTGAATTAAAGTAAATCTGTTGTAACTAGAACTCTTATCCTGATGTCAGTCCATAGTAACTTTTTTTACAGAAAATAGTTTATTTCTAGAGTGACTATTCATTTATGCACAAGTTCCCTGAGCTAGGTTTTCACCCTAAGATTCTCCCTGTCATGACAGCTCAATTCACATAGCTACAGCTGAAGTCCTTCTGATCAACATGCATACCAGTTAAAAGAACTTGTTTTCAGATATTGCCTCTCCCCCCTCTGCTTATTTGTGGTGTATATTTCTTTGCAACTTTACTGCCTTTTTTGGTCATCGTCACGATCTCCAGTTCATCTGAATAGCTGCCATTGTGGTATTTGATAAAGCTTGTATTTCTGTTGACAAAATATATCCAAAGCCATCAGTAGCCTGAGTGTTCAAACATCTGCATATTATTAAAAATAATACTAACTAAAACCCTGGGAAACACAAAGGAAGAATAATTTTCTTAGAAGGAGGACCTGTGCAGTCATTTTCTGCGTGCTGGTGACAGAAGGCCATTTTCTGTTAACATCTCTCCAAGAATTCAACAACCTTCTTGTGATACAACTGCAAAATGAAGTTTAGGGAGGTATTGCATGTGGGTAGGATAAGAAGATAGATGAGAGGATGGAATGTCTGTGGAATCAAATTACTCTTTATACAAAGGCCTGTGTTAGGGGTGGTTCGTAAGTTCTTTGAAATCCCTGACTAGAGTAATCGTACATTGCAAGATATGAAACATTCTCTCATTTTGCAAACTCTAGGCTCCTTCCTGTTTTGCTTTTCTCTGTCCCATTCAATTCTACTGCGCAATTTCTTATGTCTTTAATACTACCTGCTGTTTGCAGACATTTCCAGTCTCGTGCTTTGTTAAAAATATGATGTCTCTTCCTTCCACCACAATGTCCACTTCCAGCAGCGGCGGTCAGAGACTCAGCCCACTGTTAAGTCCCTAATATCATACATGCTCTTCAGTATATGTCCAGTATCATATATGTTTCTAGCTAAACTCTGGTCAAATCAAAAATATTCTAGGTTGAAGTAGACTGGTACATGATCACATCTGGAATACATGAAGGTACAGACAGCTCAAGGGGTCATTGTGTGGGGCAGTGTGGGGGAATAACAGTATGAATTTGTGGTGCTGCAATTACTTGAAGGCTCCCACAAGGAAGGCAGAGTACACGAAAATCATTCTGCAACTTCACACTCCTGTGTATGCCGTGGCAACCTCCTCACCTGTTCTCTTCTTCAGAGAAATGCCAGCAGATCTCATGCAAAAGGTGACTGCAAGTTTTCTACAAATCATTCTTTATCACTACTTAGCTTAATATAGTTTTCTTTTTCTCTCTCTCTCTCTCCCTTCACATCCTTCCCAACTTCCATCAATATGATAGAAGATGTTCGCAAAGACAGTCTTTCAGAGCATCACTCCATGCCAGTGTGCTTGTTTTCATACAGCACTGCAGTCTTGTGTCATAACCCAGGCGAATCTCTCATCCTTGTTCTCAGCTGTAGATCAGTCTTTTGAAAGGTGACTGCTTCTCTTGTGGATGTGATAATTACTTGGAGGCCAGCCCATTTTCTCCTAGAGTATGACTTCAGGGAAAGAAGGGCACCTCACTTTTGTCTTTGTAGCTATTTAGGTCTTCCTTATAGCTCCATTTTTGAAGGACAGGTGGATATTAGCACTGTATTTCCATTGTGAAAAGGTGGTCTGATCATTGGTCCAACACCGTGTAAAGTCTGAGAGTTGACCAGGCCATGGCTCCCCTTCTCCTCACTGCTGACGGAGACACTGCAGCTCTTGATGACACGTGTGCCAGCCCTTTTCTTGCAGTTTATTCTCATGTTGACATATGCATAAAGTGGTTTCTAGTGCCATGAAGCAATTCTGCTGGTGGTGAGCAAGGAGTTAGGCACCCCAAGGAAGCGAGGACTCATCTCTTACATGGCACCTGCAGTGGAATTCTGGGGTCTATTTTGTGTTTTACTGCCTCAGAACAAGTCATACAAATTCTCAGTGACATCCAGCCCTTTCTGGATATATAAACTTGAAGCATTTCCACTGCTTTGGCTTACGGGATCTATTTTATTGTAGCTGTAGTAGGAAATGCACCTAAGAAGCTGGAGGAAAGCTCGGGCAGTTAGTTGATGTGGAGATGAGCTAGCTGGACATGCTTTTTCAAGATCTATGCTAAGCAAAGTGCAGTGACTACAGACTGAACACAGCACTCCCAGCTACATTTACCGTATGTGGCCTAACTCTGCAGGGCAAAAAAAAGTGTCATAAATTTGGTGAAAAATCAAACTGATCTGCATAGCGATGTACAGGGGGGCAGATCTGAATTGACAAGGCATGATAAAGTAATATTTGGATTTCTGAGGCTTAATAAAACAACATGCATGACTAATTTTGGCTAACAGACAGTTAAACATATGACTTAGAGAACTACCAGTATTTTGAAAGCTCCGATATATGAATCAAATGGAAAAGTGAGTGCGCATATATATACATATATATATATATATGATGCTATTTAACATCAGGCATTCCTTTAGATTTGTTTCTTTGTTTTTTGTCTTTCATTGTATTGCAGTTTACTTTAAGATACAAGCAAACAAACAAACCCAAAAGCTGGCTGGCAAGATCAGCTGTAGCAGTCTAAGCAAGTTGCAGTGGTCTGACAGTTGATAAAAAGCATAATGTGTACAACAATGTTTTTCACAGCTTTGAAGACCTCGTCTACACTTACCGTATCTTCAGGGAACACCAAGGATATTTCAGAATACAGGTGAGTAATTCTCATTTCATCTGTAAAGATTGCACTAAAGATCATTGTCCTGATTAAAAAAAATTAATATACATGAACACATTACCTTAGAAAATATTTCCAAGTTTGCTTTCTTCTCTACTCAATTCTTGACCTTTTAATGTTATGCTTATTATTACGTATGAGCTCAGTAGCTATTATCTTTGCAGAATTCCCTTATAACCTAAGTGGATCTGTTATTTGTTGACCAGCTGCTTTCCAATTTGACCATTTCTTTTTGATAGCATTAAAGAAAAATCTATCACTTTTGTTACTTGTTCCTAATTAGCTTTTTCTATTTGAAAGCTCTGCCATTGCACCCAGCATATTGGAAGGATTTGGAATATTGCAATGATCTTTTTGATTTAAAGAGACCTATCTATAATTCTGTGTGATTCTGAGGCACCTGAAGTGATGACCCCAGATAATGCTGCTCATTGCTTGAACAAGCGTAAGAGCAGACTGCACGAATCAAATCCCCAGGCAAGATGAGAGGACACATAGAAAGCTGGCTCACTCTGCTTGTAGTAGGACAACCAACAGGACTGCCAGCAATTAAGTAGTATTTAAGAGGAATGAGGAACTCACTCCATAAAGGACACACCAAGCTCTCATATGCTGGTAATTTCTTGCTTATTTGTGGTTTGGACTGAGTATGAAAGGCACAATTTCCCATGAAGAAGAATGGTTTGTTGACAAAAAATAATCTATTTTGGACTATAGCCACTCTACTGGGGTTTGCTGTCATGCCTATCAGCAGATAATAACTCAAACACTTTTAGATTTTTCAAACCCAATTTTCATTACAAGGTTTTGCCAAGAATGTGAAGGAAGAGTTCTGTACTTCAGATTTTTAAGTCAGATTGTTTTGGCTTACTAAATTAATAGACTGAAATAATATATTGATGGTGGAGGGGAGATTGTTTGGGTTTTTTTAAGGGCCAGATTCAGCCATGAACTTTCTAGAGTACAGTAGGTTGACCCCGACCAGCAGCTAAGCACCCACACAGCTGCTCACTCCCTCCCCAGCTTAACAGGACAGGGTAGGGGGAAAAGAACATGAAGAGCAAAAATGAGGAAACTCCTGGATCAAGATAAAAGACAGTTTAATAGGTGAAGCAAAGTTGTGCATGCAAGCAAAGCAAAGAAGGAGTCTAGTCACCACTTTTCCATCGGGAGGCAGATGTTTAGCCACCTCCTGGAAAGCAGGGCCTCAGCACACGTCACGGTTACTTGAGAAGACAAATGCCATAACCATGAACACCCCTACTTTCCCCGAGCTTTTATCGCGGAGCACAGTGTCACACGGGATGGGATAGCCCTTCGGTCGATTCAGGTCCACTGTCCTGCTGTGTGCCCTCCCAGCCTCTTGTGCACCCCCAGCCTACTCGCTGGGGGAGCAGAGTGCGAAAAAGAAACAAGCTCGAGGCTGTGCGAGCACCGTTCAGCAACAGCCAAAATGCGGGTGTGTTATCAACACTGGTTTAGTGACAAATTCAAAACGTAGTGCTACACAGGCTGCTATGAAGAAAGTTAATTCCATCCCAGCCAGACCCAGTACACAGGGGCAGTGGCATGCAGTTCATACAGAGCTGAAAGGGAGATAAAGGATGTGGATAAACAAAGAAAATAAAGACGTGTTTCTTTGTTAGATAGCAAATTAAGTGACACCAAAGATCCATTCACTTTTAATGACTAGTAGTAGGACCCTCACTGTGATTAGAGCTGGTTAATGTGCTTACTGTCTGTCACTGTCCTGAAGTCACCAGCATTGCAAAGTTTCTGTACGGATCACGGCGGGGCTGTGCCGCGGAAGCAGTTCAGTCCAGCTGTATGAACCCACACGTTAAAAAGCAGTTTGTGAGAATGCTGTTCCCCTGCTTAGGAGTGCCCTCCTCTGTGTTTGGCCTCAGGGGTCTCCAAAGCAAGTCACAAAGCTGGACAAATAATAAATTCCTGCCTAAAAGTGAAAGCTGGTGCTGGGGACTTTCATATGGATCGTCAGACATGTCCGCTGCCTCTGCACATGTCCTTTGCTTGACAATGCTGATATTTCGTAAAACGTCTGCTTGTCACATAGTTGTTTAAATACAACATTTTAAATGAGAACTAAATAGGTTGCCTCTAAACTTGTGCTCTAAGACCAGAGGGAAGTCTGTAATGCTGTCACTCTTTGACACTCTGTTGTAGTGGTTTTCTGCAGTAAACATCTGAGCCAATATTTTAAACTGATGTTCTTTTTTCAAAAAAAAGATGGTGAGGGAGGTTACAGTTAATGCCATAACCACACCACCAAACAAGTGCCCCTAGTGTCTTAAGGATAGTACAATATTCTGTCACCAATTCTGTTTACAAAACAGCTCCTTGGTAAACGAGACACACCCTATTGTTCCTTTCATTTAGGGGACTCTATGTGAAAGGCAGTTGCAAATAAACTTTATTTTCCTTTCCTTGCAGACTTCTGAAGGTGTTCCAGCCAAGATCTTCAAAACATTAAAGGACTTAATATACAATTATCACAAGCCAGACCAAGGACTAATAACAAACCTCCGCTACCCAGTAAAGAAACAAAAGGCCTCACAAACAAGCCAGAGTTTCAAGTCAGGAAAGAACGAAATTTATGATGGTGAGAAATTTAGCTCTGTCTTTGTGGGGTTTTCTTAAGATGACTGTATTGACCGGTTTGTGGTGAATAGTTGCTATGTGTCCTGTGAGACCAACTCACACGAACAGAAGTTCAACATCTTTCCTTCTCTTACGTTCACTGGAAAACAGTTATTCCCAGCTCACAGGTTACATACCCGCATCCACTACAAATTAACAAGTTAAAGTTGCAAGAGATACAGAAGGCAAAGCATGATGTTGCCCACAGCTCGTTCCTGCATGGGTGTTGATGCTTCTGGGCTAGGGAAGGCTGAGGACTAGTTTTACCCAATGTGGTTCTACCAAGCTGCCAGGCCCCTGCACTTCACTGGGAGTTGAGGCTGTCCTTCACCTTCATTGTCCAAGTTGAAAGCTATTTTTATATCAAAATCTAACTCAGTTGGTTTTGAGATGCTGGGGAAGCCAGCCAGCTTCTGGTTTGTTGTCATTTGTATTAAAACATGACTAATTTTTTAAGCTAGTAAGTTGAAAATAAGAAGCATACAGCCTTGCGCTCAGGATCACAGCTTTGGGACCAGAGAGTTCAGTCTCTGGTCGTTCTTCTGCTAATTTATGCTCACAAGTCCCAGGAATAAAATAAGGCTAAGAGGTTTCTACCTGACAAATATTATGCAAAAGGATACAATAAAGATGGAGGTTTTCACAAAGTGGTAGACCATGTTTTATAGTCCCATGTCATCTTTACCTCCTTGTTTTGGGGAGGATGAACAGAGATACTACTGGCAACTTGCCAGCATCCCTCACACATTTTTGAAAGCCGTTCTTCATGTTACTGCTGTGCAATGCTCAGCTGCAGTACCTATCAGGTCACAGGCTGCAAAATAACCTTGAAACTCTTCTAGGTCCTCTGACTAAGCATAAGGAGAGCCACAGTGAGAGCACATGTGAGCAAGGGAAATGCTTTAACTAAGTACAGTTATCATAAAGGAAAAAAATCTTGGAGTATCCAATCTTCTGTGTGATTTATATCTTACGACTAACACTAGCTCAAATGCAGCCGTGTGTGTGAGCCTCTCCGTGCTGCAGTCATACCTCCTGTCAGTATGACAGATCCTGGTTTTTTACACACAACAACAGTGCAACAGCTCTGGTGCTCCCTGTGTCAAGCAAACAGGATAGGAAAGGGTGAGCTCTCCCCACCACTGCATGCACTAAGCTGCATTTTTAGGGGCCAGTGCAGCAACAACCTCGCTGTGAGAAATAGTAGCAAAGAGACATTTCCAGTGTCTCCAACATCACATTATCACTAAGGCAGATATGCCACATTTGCTCTAAAAATGTTTTTATGGTATCTTGTCATTGCTGCTCCAGGGAGATGGAAAATACTGCAGTAGCATGGATATATTTTTAGGGAAAATCAGGTCTAATACATATTTTATTGCCTGGTCCTGCAACATGAACTTTTCTAGAAGATGCACAATGTCCTGGTTTGGACTCACAGGGAGGAAAACAAACCCTTTCATTTCACTATCAAAATGTTTGTGGTTGTCCATAAAACTGGAGGCTTTTAGAAATAATCAAATTACTTTGGAATTGTTGCTGTTCAATTTTAATTTAAATTTCACTTAAACAGCATTCAAAACTTCCACCTCAGACTGCTTTATTACATGCTCACAGGGGGAGCTTAGGTTAATGTCATGATGATATCTCTCCAAAATGCAGGCACCACGTAAAACACCACAGTGCTTCCTAAAGCAAGCACGATACTTTTCTGGCCCAGTCCCTTGTGTTGCACCAGCAGCTGGCTTTGCAGCACATATAGGACTGAGCGCTCCGCTGTGACCAGTGGAACACCTCAGGGGACTGGGGTCACGATACTGGCTGTTGGACATTTCTGGACGTCATTTTCTAGCCTAGGAAGAGCTTGTCTGAGGGTGACTGCTTGACGACACCAGTAGGTTTCCATAGTGGAGACCAAGTTCCAAGCATTCAATTTCAGCCTTTCCCCAGCTTCTCAAAAAACATCGTAATTCTGACAAGGTGTAAGAGAGAAAGGTTTTTTTCAGGCTCTCCTCCCTTAGTTGGGAGGAGAGCTTCTCTGCTGGGTATTTAGAGAAGAAAGGGTATGTTATGCTATAGTCATAGCTACCTCAGCTATTGATCTGATTTACTAAATATGGATGATTTCTGACATTTGACTGTTCCTCGGGAAGAAGGGGTCTCACGTGGATACAACTGTTTCATAACAGAGCTTGCTGGCTCAGAAAAGACAATACAGGCTCTGCCTCCATACGGGCTCTTGGAGGACCCAGTCCATAGGACATGGGGCCTAAACATTGGCCCTGCAATAGGAGAGAGAATATTAAGAAACTAAATTGAGTTACTGGTACCTGCCCAGCAACACAGCCACAGGCCTTCCTGCTTACCATGGGCTTTCAGAGGAGCCATTTGCAATGACATCTTTTTTTTTTTATTATTGATTTCTTTACAGAAATTGATGACAGTGATTATGTTGACATCTTACCCTGAAGGATCTGCAACCTGACGATTTGGGAAGCTGCTGTTTCAGGTTGTGCCACAGCACAATGGATCAGCTGGGGAGAGCTGCCAGCTGGGCATTCTCTGCTGTGGATCTGTACCTCTGAAATTAGTCTTCTCCTTTTGCAGAACGTCAGAGCAGCTGTATTTTCTCCTAGTAGATCCAGTACAAGCTACTATATATTTTTGTTTAGCAATAAAAGAATTAATTTTTTTAACACACATGCACAAATACACATACCTATGGGAGGGAAGGGTATCTGTATGCATGTATGCATATTTTGGTTTTTTAGTCAGCAAACTATCCAAGATGTCTAGTGTTAATATGAACAATTTGTTAGAAAGCAGCAATATAAATACAACAAATGAATGTGCATAAAGCAGTAGTTTATGGCAGAACTGATATGTGTTGATAAAAACCATACACGACAAAAATTCTATTGGCATCATATGAGGCATAAAACCCTCTAAACTCTGTTAAACCTCTAAACTCTTATTTTGTGCATGATTTATGTTATCTTATTGTTGAATAACTAGAGAGTATTTCAGCTCTACTAGCAGTATCCTGTAGTTTGGAATAATCTAAATTAAAACAAAAAGGCTGTGTTAAATCCGTGCCATAAATAATTAATCAGCAATATGAAAATGGTTTGAAATACTTTTAATATTGATGAGTGGTTCTGGTAGATTACAAGAGGAGTGCAAGTTCTACGTGCATGTCTGTATGAACACATTTGAGTTTTTTCATAGGTACTGTACATATGAGAATGCTTACTACATTTCATTTGCTACTGCCATTAGCTCTGTATTATAATATGTATGGCTTTGGGTATTTTTTTTAATGTAAGAATTTGCTTTAGTCTTACCCCTAATTTTAAATATTTAATACATACTTTTGTTCTGAAGGTGGCTGCAACTAGCAGCCAAAGCCGGAACTGGAACGTATGTCCTGATTTTCCTAGTTGCTAGTACCAACTCCCTCTCCATTTGTGATCTTGAGGACGACATTTACATTGGTTGTGTGTTTGTTTAAGATCTTTCACAAATCATGTATGCATTTTAATGGGTAATATTAGTTAGATTTCTTTCTATTATGTTTCTTTCACACCACTATTTATTAAAGGACTTTTAGACCTTTCAATGCTTTGGACTTATGAATTTTAATAGCGCTAACAGGTTTTGGTGCCAGGCTCAACTGGTATTTTTAGGATGAAGGAGACAAAAAAAAAGAATTTAATTAACTCTGGCATTGCCAAAAATACGTATGTGTCCAAAAATCATGAATCGGAAAGAAAGTAGTTGTCCATGAAAGATGGTACTATTGGAGAGGAAGAAAACAACCCTTGCTCTGTAGAACTGCATACACTGGTGTGTCTCTTTATTTGCAGAACTCAGCAGGCTGATAGTTGGTTATCATGTATATCAGACTGAGCAGCTGCTGTGCTGAGACATCGCAACGCCAGCAGCCTGGTCTGTAACAGAACACAACACTTCAGTTTTTCTGAAATGAGAGTCTCAGCAGTCCCCCACACGCTCAGTCAGTCGCGCTGATGTTCAACCTTAGGAAAAGGCCGAGTGACAAAGGAATCCCAGGCCGTGCCTCATGCCCCTGACTGGGTGACTCCTGACGGCTGAACAGACTATTACTCACAGCTGATGGGGACAAGGGGCTGGGCTGTGGTGCTTTTTAGCTGGCAGTTGCTCCGGTTAAAGCACTGCAGCGCAGGCAGCCGTGCTTTAGAATCAGATTTACAGCACCGCGGCAGCTGCAGCTCTGGATGCTGCATCTAGACCCGAGAGTGCATCCAAGCCCACGCTCCAGTCACTTCTCAGGCGCTACCTCCGAGGCAGTCAGCTGAAGCACAAAGCGCGTTGGAAGGATCAGGGATTTAAAGGAGGAAGCAAGGACCTAGAGTGAAATGAAATCTACATTTCAATTTCAATTGAATTGAATTCAATATTCAGCTGTGCTTTACAGAAATGTATTCATTAACCGTATAAGAAAATGAGGTTAATATACATGTTCCTACGCATCTTCGCAGGCCTAATACATTAGGAAACAATCGCTGCATGGGTTCCGAAAAAGTATGTTCAAAAGCTTCACACACCAGCATCTACCCTTCAACATCCCAAAGCAGATTATGTCTGTGCGTGTGGGCTGAGCAGTGAGGGGTCACATCCTGTTATCTGAAGGCTCGAAAGGGATAAGGACCAAATGTAAAACCACATTCGGGGTGCCGCAGGCCCATGAAGAAAGAATTACTCTTGCCACGCTACCCTTTCCATCCCAGCCTCTCTCCTGGGTGGGCGCGGGCCAGTTGTGAAATTTTGGTGACGCTGCGAGGCCCCGAGCAGCAGCAGCAGCAGCAGCAGCAGCAAGGGTCTTCTGCTCTGGGAGCAGAGGGAAATTTGCCGGAGGGGAAGCAGCGGGCAGGCAAGCGGCGAGGAAGGCGAGGGGCCGCGGGGGTCCTGCCCGGCCGTAGCTGGAGGCGAGGGGGCGGGAGGGGCGTGGGGGGGCGGCGCGTCGGTGGGGCGGGCGCGCAGGGCGGGGTGAGGCCTGTAGGGGTCGCTGTGCGCCGCCCGCCGGTGGGGATCTGCGTTGGACGAGCCGCCGGGGCGCTGGGCGCTGGTCTAAGGCCCGCCAGTTCGATCCCCACCGCCACCCGCAGCCCGCCAAAGGTGCCCCGCACGCCTCAGTTTGTCTCCCGGCATCGCCGCCGCCCCACCGGGGCTAGCACTGCACGGGCAGCTTTGGCTTTCCTCCTTTACGTGTCACCAGCCTGAGCCGGGAGGCTTTTTTGCCCTCTTTCTCCTTCCTCCCCTTCTCATGGGAGAGAGCAGGGAGCCACAGGCAGGATGGGCGCCTGTCTGCTGGCCGGCCTCAACTCCACACCAAAGGCATAGGAAGGGCTGACGGGGACAAGGAAGGCAGCAGCAAGGAAAAGCAGGGTTGTGGGTGCAGGTGGGAACCTGCGGCAGCTCCAGTCCTGAGGCTGCCTTCCAGAGGTGGGGGAGCTGGGAGGCTCAGTACGCCCCAGCCCCATACACCTCCTCTTAGGAAAAGTCTCGTTCCCCAACTCTTGTACCAATTAGTCGCTAACCCGTGAAATTGTAGGGACTGTTTTGAGAGAGTTTACATCGTCATGCTACTGTTTTGGCTGGGATAGAGTTAATTTTTTTCATAGTAGCTAGCATGGGGCTATGTTTTGGATTTGTGTTGAAAACAGTGTGGCTAACACAGGGATTTTTTAGTTCTCACTGAGCAGTGCTTACACAGAGCCAAAGCCTTTTCTGCTTCTCACCCCACCCCACCAGCGAGCAGGCTGGGGGGGCATAAGGAGTTGGGAGGGGACACAGCTGGGACAGCTGATCACAGGGATATAGATATAGATATCCAGACCGTATGACATCATGCTCAGCATATAAAGCTGGGGGAAGAAAGTCTCCTTCCCTAACTTTCTGCATCACCTTGGCCGCAGGCCAGCCCTGATGCCGGCGGCGCCCACCCAAGCGGCTGCACGTCCTCGATTTCCCTCACTTCTCCCTCAGGGAGCAAAACAGGAGCAGTCCCCGTTCCCGCAGCCCCGACCCGCCGCGGCTGACCGCCGAGGAACACCCCGCCCAGAGCTCCTCCCCGCTCCCACCCGCCTTGAAGCAAGATGGCGGAGGCTGCGTCTCCCGTCGTGCCCCGCGGGGTCGGCGGCCGCTCCCCTTCAGTGGACGCTGCCATCAAAATGGCGGCGGCGGCGGGAAATACGAGTGGGGTTTGTGGCTCGCGTGTCTGAGAGGGTGGCTGAGGCGCCATGGACGCCTTGGGCTGCATGAAGTCCCTGCTCCTGGCAGCCACGCAGTACCGGGCTGCCAAGACACCGTCCAATGCGGCGCTCCTGCAGCGCAGCCTGGAGGTGAGAGACAGCGCCGGTCCTGGCCCCCCCGGGCCGCGGTGGGTGCGGGCGGCGCGGCCGGGAACTTGGGGATGGCCGCGGTGTCCCCTCGGGCTTCGGGGCACGGGTGGCTCCTCTCCCCCGTCATCGCTCTGGGCGGCAGCAGCGCCGGCTCTGGAGCCGCCGGGGCCTCTGCCGGCTCCCCCCGCCGTAGCCTGCAGGCGCCCCATGGCGCCGGCCGGGCCGGGCCCGCGGCCTGCCCGTGGCTCAGCGGCCGCAGACGGGGAAACTCGCCCGGTGACCGATTGCCGGGGGAGGTGGTGGTCCAGGGGGGCCGCCGGACAGAAGAAACGTTTCAGTTTTTAGCAATATCCCCGGGCTATGACTATGTCCTTTATTATAATGCCTTATGGCGGTTGTGTGTATTTACATATGTGTACAGTATGTTCGTATGCACATAGGCTAAACATATAGTGTGCCTTATGAGGGACTTCTGGTTTTTTCATATCCTCTAAATTCTGACCCCGAAAGATCATTTATTATCACAACTTAAAAATAAGAGTTTGAATGATGAACTGGTCTTGTATCTGGAGTTTGCTAATTTCATACAATATGTAATCAAAGGTGTTTGCTGCTAAGGGGTAGGCCTGTCCATTTCCCTGATCTCCACGTAGAGCCTTGTGTACAACGCTTGTGGTGGGCACGCTTGGTATGGTGAGCGATTGACACAATGACTGAATTGCTTAATCTGCAAGGTACCTTTTTCAAATACAGATTTTTTTTTTTTAATAGCTAAAACATTGATATAAGAGTTAGTATTCAGCTTAGCTTTCTTTTCTGTATCCATTGTAAAGAGGTATACAGGGAATATGCAAAAACAATGTTATGTTGCTCTATTGTGCAAGTATAGCTTGCGTCTACCTGTATTGATGTGCAAGTGTATCATTTTCAGCACCTTATATAGGCTTCCTTAAACTCAGGTTCCATTTTTTCACCTCAAGCACACAGTGCTCCCAAACCAGCACTACCTGTACTAGACTGCACTTCTTATCCTTCCTGCAGAGTGGCACCTTTGGGTTCCTGTCCATGTCTTTAGAAAGCTGGCTG